AGGAGTGGAAGTAGCATGGAAAGTGACCATTTGGAGATCTGGGAGCTGGGTCTCTTTCTCCCCTTATTGAACAGGACTCACTTTGCCATCGTCAGAATCTGCTAATAGGATCATCGTCCGTTGGCGCTTATGCGAGCGCTTTCCTTTCTGAGGCATGGGGCTGGTCAGGAGAGGGATAGAAGAAGGTTGATCGAGCAGAGGAGGCATCGTCTTCTTCCTCCTCTTAGCTTCAGGTGATGGAGATGGTACCTGCTTTCTCTTGTTAGGAACACCTCCTTTGTCGGGATGACTGGAGGAGCCTTTCTTAGCCCCAAGCTTTCTAGAGATTGAGGGAGCAGAAACTTGGGAGGAAGCATAGTCTTGTTCCATCCCCTGGACCATGGTCCTCAATAAGGGGGCCGTCTGGGTCTCAGAAGTGGCAGGGGTGTCAATGTTTCCCCTCAAGAATGTCATAAATATGTGGGATTGTGTCCAATCATGGCCTACAAAAACTAAAACAGGATTAGTCTAGGGTACAAAATAAGAAGGATAAGAATAAGACAAATGTAAGAGATAATACTTATTGGTGTGGCTCTTTGTTATGTAACTAAAATGCTGGGGCCACTATTTGTTGAAGCAGAGATAGGCGTCTCTATCTACAAGTTCTACCTTGCACTACCTCTGAGTGGTGAGTGGAACAGCTATTTGGTCGATAGCCTCCCTGTCCAGTAGCTGCACGCTAATTTGGGGGGATAGGCCCCTAGGGATACATTAGCTCAATCCAAATTGGCCCGCTACCAATTAAGGATGTTAAGACTCTAAGTATACCCTCAAAGACTTGGAGGAGGAGCCAGTGTATGATTGCCACATCTTTTAGGGAGTGGTGGTCAAAAGGAAGATTTCATCCCTCAAGGGATTGGCGGGCTTGTTTTTCTTCTCCACCATATACTTATACTAGGTGGGAAGGTGGTAGTCTGGCATGTTAAAAGCTTTTAAGGTCCTCCCTAAGGACCAGCTTTGCTGACTGAAGAACTCGAAGAAATTCTTCGACTTGGTCAGCGGATGACCACCCAGGAGATAGGTGAAAGGGGTGGTTGGTGTAGGAATCATCTGGGAATGGCTCCCGCCAAAGATTTGGGAAGTAGGCTATCGTCCATAACTTTAGAAACCAGATGAGCCCATGGAAGTTGTTGAAGGGCTTCTTAGTCAACGACTCTCTCATGCCATCGTAGAGACGGCATAGAAACACAGTCCCCAGGGCTATTTGGTTGCTGCAGAGCAGAGACTGGGCGATCCTTAAGTGTAAATGCATGGGCTTCCCTCCCCCTGGGGCCGAGATCTATTGATTTAGTAGGATCCATATGAAGACCAGATGCTCCGTGGTAGTGACGGGCTCAGAGGCTGGCTTCTCAAAGAACAGCTCCATAATCTTCATGTAGGAGCTTGCGCTCTTAATCTTGCTCTCCAAATCAGCGGGGAGGGCAATGTAGGAGTTGAGCTTCTTAGGGATCATGTAGAAGTTCTCCTCTTCAGTGATAAGCAGTAAAGCATAAAGGACATTGGGCTAAGCTCGAAGATGAAGGCATTGCTGCCTGGAGCCCAGAAGCTGAGGAGGGCAGTTAGAAGCTCTATGGCGATGTCGACATTGGCCAGAGATAACTGGATAAGGTTATATAGACCCATCTCCTTCCACTGAGGCACATGTTCTAACTTTAAATGCCTTACCCAATTGACCTAAGCACTAGGAGACCGGGGCTAGTTCTTGAGTTTTCTACAGGATGACTCGAGGAGGGGCGAGGTAGTCCGGGTTAAGAGCAAGTTACGAATAGAGGTCAGTGGCCATGGGTTTGGTTGAGTGGGAGTAGTGACTTTGGACAGGTCAGGAGAGATTGTCAGGTACCCGGCGTTGCTCTTGTTGGAGATTTGGAAACTCCAAGGTGAAGTGCTGGAAAAAATGAAGCACAGTTAGAATATTTTTTAATAAAATAGAAGGGCTAAACGCGATAAGTGAGAAACTTACCAAAAAGCCACTGATTCATGGAATGATGAATCCTCCTGAAAAGAAATGAACAACTATTAGAATGGGAAACCAATCTAAAGGAAAAAAGGGTTTTTTAGACTATTAGAAACATACCGTCACGAGCCCACCAAGTGGGTTAACTGGTCGGATAGTCGCTAGAGAATCTAGTAGACTACTAGTGGAAGTAGAAGAATGAGTGGTGGCAGAAGAAACAACAAGAATGGAGGAAGCCATTTAAAAGTTAGGATAAGAGAAATGCAGCAGATTGAAAACTTGAAGTTTAAGAAACGACAAAGAGGGCAAGAGAAGTGACTATAACAAAGAAATGAGTTTACATCAGCAGAGGGCGCTTAGAGATGAAGAGACGTTTCAGCTTTTTCAAACGTGCCACGTGGCTTACGTTACCAGCCATTAGCATGCGGGGGGCATTGTTTGGGCTAAATATGAAACGTCGCTCAAATAGGTCACAAGGCTAGTTTGACTGAGTAATTGAAGCGTCAGGCCCAATATAAACAAAAAAGGCCGGCCCCGAAGCTCAATAAAGGCCACAATAAGTAAACATGTTGAAATCTCGTCAGCTACAAATATTAGATCGCTGGCACGAAGACACGGTCCTAAGTAATGTTGAAATCTATGCCCAAGTAGTTTGATGAAATGGGCTGGTTATCAAAATGAAGAGACCGTGCCATAAGTTTTGCGAGATTCCTGATTCTTTGACAGAACGTGCTAAGTTTCATGGAAAAGGCTTCCACTATTCTGACACTATAAATAGGAATAGAAAATATAGAAGAAACTAGTCAATACTCTGTCAAGACTCGTAAATTTTATATTCATTAGCCCTTTTCATTTTTTCAGTTTTTAGTCTGTAATCTTTTTATACTTCAATAAAATCATACACTTGTTCTACCAAAGCCTTGTATCATTTTATATCCGAGAGAACTGTTATAAGGGAACTCGGGACCTTTTTCGTTATCTATTGAGACTCAGTGTCTTTGGCACGCCTGGTAGTTATTGTTCAATCACAAACAAATATATTCCGAACGATAAAACACAGCTGCAATTATTTTAAAATAGGAATAACTATAAAATAAATTGTTTGGATATGTGATTCGGTGAGACATTTGGATGCATTAATGTTGGGTAATATATTAGGCTATTCCCTAAGGCCCATTACACTATTTTATGCTTCAATTCAGTTTATTCTGTTTTGTTTCATATTGCAGAATATATGAAATTAGAATAATTTAATTTAGATTTATTATTGTTATTCTTTAGATTTGGTGGCTTAATTATTTTTTCCAAATTCCTATATATATATAATTTGGCCCTTGCTTTTCAACATTCTTATCAAAACACATTTGTTGGTAAACTCCTAAAAAACAATCATTTTTGCTAACCACAAGCTTTAAAAAAAATTAATAAAAAATATAATTTAGAATATAAAAATCAAAATTAAATATTCCAAATTTGTGCCTTGCAAGACTTACTCTTTTCTTTATTAAAAAAAAAAGATCCTTCAAAAAGTTTTTAACGACAAAATAATAAATATTTTAGTGGGATTGATTATAGAACGCTGGTTACTAATAGCAATATATTAGACCTTGGCATGCCATAGTACACCTAGCTAGCAAGGTGTTTATGGAAGGTGCTAGTCCCTTACGAAGGTCAACGCACATGGATTGGAGGGATGATTATTTGTAAGCATTGTACTCACGCTTGTTTTTGTAGGCCTCATGCCCGCTCTTATTTCGTGGCTTCTAGCCGTGCTTGATTATTTCGTGGCTTTAAGCTACACTTAGTTATTTATCTTTGTGAACTGTATATCCACACATATTGGTTATTTACCCTCGTGAACTGTGTGTCCACACTTGTTAATTATTCTGATCAAGTCCTACTAAAGAGTTTTGAAACTTATTTTTTTAACAATTGATCTCGTAAAATAAACTATTATTTTACCATATATGGAATTGTTTTGTTTTGTTTTATTTTATTTTATCTTAGCTTCATGATTCTCAAAGTGTTTAAGCATATGTTGAAGATAAAAGTGGAACTTGAATTTCTAATAATTTTTATTTGAATTCATATGTTCCTTGTTTTTACATTTACATAACTGATGATATATGTGAGGTATGCACTTATATTATTTCAATTGACTATTTTATTAAGTTTATAATTAACTTATTGATATATTTTCCATTATTTCTTTCAAATTTAAATTGGGACATTATTCACTAGAAAGTTACTTGTGATTTTAGATTCATTTGATGATGCTAAATCTCTTGCTGACTTCTTAGGGTCTTATAACTGAGCCAGGTGGAGCTTTAATTGAAATTGTTTCCTTTTGATGTAATTATAGAATTTATGTATTTTACTTTGAAAATATGGTTAGGTACTTCACACAATCTATAGTTAGGGTTCTATTGTTGTCACATACTTTGTCTATCGGCTGAAAGGAGCAAACCTCCTTGTTGGTGTGGTATTTTGTCTAAAATGGTATTGTAGAATTTTTGGGAAACCTTAGTTACAAAGGAAATGCTATCGAAATTTCAAGCTTGATGGATGTGCGGTTGTGCATATACCTCGTGCCAGTCACACTCAATTTTTAAGGTGTGACAGAGCTAATAATACTACATTAGTTATTCAAGTTCTTCTCACAAGAGGTTTCTAATTCATAATCATTTAGAAAATAGAGAAGAAGACGAAAATTGTAGATCTTAATTCAATTTATTTAGAAAACCATTTCTTCCAAATCAAACTAAAGAACAAAAACTGGAATTTAGGTTCTTATTATTGAAAAACAAAGTGCTAAAAAGAAAAAAAAAAACAAGAAACAACACGTAGAAAACCAAAACCCATATAATCAAGTAAGAAAATCTCAAATTTCACATCATATATTATTACAACACACATCACTCCATTTTATAAGAGTATATGTACCCACAAAAATAAGAGAAATAAAAATTTTAAATAAATAGTAACTAAAATTTGTTTTAACAATTATTCAACTTGAAGCTCCTCTAACATTTTTCACAAATATAACCTTGATTTTTTTTAATGACACCACAACATCAGCCATTGAAAGTCGCGCCTCAGGTAAGTCATGGCAACAATTCAGTGCTAGCTCAAAAACTGATGATATATGAGGTAATATATTATCAATATTTTGATGTTCTCTATGTAGCAAATTGGCATCTAGAATATTGGTGATTGAATGTGGTGTTGATTTGCTAACCCAATGCTTCAAACTTAATCCTTCAACAAACATCTCATCTGTTGGCTTCTTCCTTGTAAACATTTCCATTAATAAAATACCATAACTATACACATCTCCTTTGACAGAAACAAGTCCTTTTGATCCATATTCTGTTGAATGGTTAACAAACAAATATTTAGTAATAAAATGATATAAAATTTTATAAAGTATAACAAAAGAACATATAAATAAATCAAGAAAATATTATTATACCATTACCTGGTGCCACATAACCAATTGTAGCCAAAGTTTTGGTATAAATTTCCCATTGTCCTTCACCAAACAATCTAGCAATACCAAAATCACTAAGATGTGCCACCATATCTTCATCAAGCAAAACATTGCTTGGTTTCACATCACAATGAACAACTAGTATAGAAGAACTATGGTGAAGGTATTCCAAAGCAAATGCCACATCAATCATTATGTTCAACCTTTGCAAGACATCTAAACAATAGTTATGAGAGTACAACCATTTGTCAAGACTCCCATTTGCCATGTATTCCATTATTAGAGATTTGAAATGATCATTTGAGCAACAACTAGTGGTCTTAATGAGATTGCGATGGCGTAAATTACACATGACAGCACATTCAATATCAAAACTTCTTAATGCTTCTTCAACTTCTAACTTGAATACTTTGACAGCAACCATTTTTGTGTTTGGAAGAGTTGCTTTGTATACTAATCCAAAACTTCCAGAGCCAAGAAGATTACTCTCATCAAATCCATTTGTTCCTTGCCAGAGCTCATAATAGGATATCCTAGGTGGTGTCTCAAAATTTATTAAACCCCTTTTGGTTGAATCATGAACATGATCTCTCTTACACTTTAGAAAGACAATGCTTGAAAAAACCAAAATGGCAACCATGCATATGATAGGCAATAAGCACTTTATCAATAGCTTCACTTTATTTGACATGTGCTTGTGTTCTTTCCTACATGGATGAACTTGTAATTGGGACTTCCCACAAAGATCATTATTCATCATAAAAGATTCAGCAGTGAAATTCTGGAAAGGCCCCCCATTTGGAATTTCTCCTTGCAGTAAATTATAAGAAAGAATAATATGTTGAAGATAGGCAAGTAATTCTAAGGATTTTGGAATCACACCAGACAAATAATTATGGGAAAGATCCAAAGTCACCATGCTTATCATGCCACCAAGTGATTTAGGAATATTCCCTTGTAATTTGTTTTGGGACAAAGATAGGGTTTGTAAAGTTTGTAGGCTACCCATAGTTGTAGGGATGCTTCCTGAAATATTATTTCTTGACAAGTTCAATAGTGTAATTGTTCTCAAGTTTGATACCTCTAGTGAAATTGTCCCACTTAATTCATTGGATGATATGTCTAATACCAAGATATCTTTGAGACTCCAAAGAGAAGAGGGTATATGAGAAATCAAGTTGTTATAGCTAAAATTCAACTTCCGCAAAGAAGTATTCCCGAAGCATCCGGGAACCACCCCCAAAAACATATTGTTGGCAAGATACAACTCACTTAAACTTTTGAGTTGGCAAAGTTCATCTATAATGGACCCTTGCAATCTGTTGTTGCTAAGACTTAAAAACTGGAGGCTATGTAATTTGCTAACTATATCAGGAATCAACCCATTCAAATAATTCCCATGCAAAGATAGCGTCATCAATTTTGTTAGATTTCCAAATACAATGGGTATAACCCCACTAAATTTATTCAATGACAAATCTAACAAAATGAGATTAGAAGAATTTGATATGCTATTTGGAATTTGTCCAGTAAGTTCATTCCCTGCCAATTGTAATTCTTTCAAGTTGGGAAGGCCAATTCCTAAATATGATGGGAGAAGGCCGGAGAGGGAATTCTGGTCAAGGTGTAAGCGAGTCAATGTTGAAATGTTGAAAATATTGAAAGGAATACGCCCTTTGAAATAATTAAAGGGCAAGGCCAAGACATTGAGTTTATCAAGATTGCCCATTTCCATGGGTATAAAACCTAGAAATGAAAAAGAAAAGAAAAAGTAATAACATTTTTAAACTAATGGATTTGTAAAACGAACATACAACATGTTTGCATAACATAAAAAAAAAACTGTGTATGTATCTTACTAATCTAAAAGCTTAAATATTTCTGTTAAGCATATAATATACATATATAATCATTTGATAGGTAATAACATTTTTTTAACTGAGCGGATTTTAACAGAAAAATAAAACATGTAATATTGTTTTCATGTAATTAATACACACACATACATATACATACATCAACGAAAGTTAGAGTGAGTGATAGAAGTTCTTGTCACTTAAGCAAGTGGTTTGAGGTTTGAACCCAATCCTTGTGTATTTAGCAATTTAGTTGGAAAATGTTTACCTATTACTCTCAGTACCTCAGGGACATATTCTTTGCTATTGACGGAGACTACTCCTATTGTATTTAAAATATATATATATATATATACATACATACATACATACTAGAACAAAAAATAAAGAAAATAAACGTGTTTTACTGATTCCCAAAACATGAATATTTGCCAATTAATCGTGAGGCATAAAGAATTATATCAGACAACTTTCTTGGCGAATTTTCCTTTTGGTATAGCTGTAGTGAGAAATTGTTAAGTATACTTATCTCAGCAGGAAAAAAGAAAAGTACGACATTAAATGCAACGAGTCCACGTGTTTATTAGTATAATTTTTTTTTCATACTTTCTCCCTCCTGTTGATTTTGCATACTTCTTTAAATTTCAAATAAAATAAGTATTCAAAAACTATTATATAAAAAACTTAAATTTGAATGGTTTTATTTAATCTCACAGAAATTGAACATGTTGAATAGTTCCTCTCTAAACCCAGATGAATTAAAATGATGCAATTATTTGTCCGACTATTAAAAACATCTCAAATTCTCTTTTATCTCATACTTAAGATATGGTTGTACTTGTGTTTTCAGAGTTGCATTTAAATTTTTTATTTAATTTATATATTGTAATTTGTAATTTATTTTTAATGTATTTCAATTAATTTATTATATATAGTAAATTTTTTAATTTCTATGTTGTATTTTAAAAAAAATTCACATATAATTTTAATTAAATAATATAGAGTTTTTAAAGTTTTTATATATAATAAATAAGAAAACGAAAAACTCTAAACTTGTCTGTATTATAATGTAAATTTAATATTAAACTTTCTCTCATACAAAATTTTTCAAATGTTATTAACTCTAGAATCATATATAACAAATATCATGCAGCACTATCAGTTCATAGTCTTATCTTGTGTTATTTTGGGCTCGTAATCACTAGCTATATACAATACGAATAAAATGATGAAAAAAAGTATCATTTTAGAAAATAATAAAAAGAAAAAAACACATAAATAAGGGCATACCTGTAAATGAGTTATTACTCAAATATAATTCTTTCAAAGATGTGCAGTTATTTATTGTTTTTGGAATGCTTCCCTCTAATTGATTACCGTCAACAGCAAAGATTTCAAGTAAAGGGAGTTGATGACACATATCTTCTAGCAAATTACCATTTAAATAATTCATGCCAAGATCAATCCGCCTCAAAGAAGGCATGTTCCAAATAAATGAAGGAATTCGACCTATATAAGAAAAAATTACAAAATATTTTTTATTGCTAGTAAGACTAGAAATCTCCTGAATTCATGTACAATCATATAAACAAAACATAGCATTTTGTTAATTAGTTTTTGCTACTAGAGACTTAAAATTAATAGAAAATAAACTATTTTTGTTGGAAAGCACTTTAAATGGGAATCTTCCAATTACCAATTGCACATTAAAATTTCTTTTAAAGAAGAGATATGGTGAAATAGATTGTGAAATTAATTTTACTTATCTAAAAAGAACAATAAAATTATTTATATTTTTCAATAAAATGATTTAATATTTACAAGGCTACAACTTTAAACTTTAAGGATGAATTCATGGTAGGAATAAAGATAAGTTTTTGGTAGCTATTCAAGGGATTAAAATACTTTCAGTAATGAATTTTGTAGAAAATGTAGAATAAGAAAAATGAATTTTCTTCACATAAAAATTAAATTCGAAGTTATTGGTTAATAAAAATGGATTGTGTGAAACATATCAAGTATACTATAATTTTTATTAAAGCAATTTCAGTTAAAAAATTATGCAAGCAATATAGAAAAGCATAAATAATAAATGAAAAGTCTATCCTGGTATATTGTTAGAGAATATAAATATTAAAACAATATTTCAATATTCATGCATGTGTATCAACATATCATGGATATAGTTAAAATAAAAACATTCCATTTAGTCAAAAAAAATATAAAACATTGCAATTTTTTTCCCATAAAATGTAAATTTGGAATTAGTTGAATTTCCACCATCGCTTGGTATATATGCTTTATATTGAAGCCATATATGTATAATTTTACCCAACAAATCATTTTTATGCACATAAAATTATTCAAGTTTTGGAAGGCCAAAAAATACATTCTTATTTTGTAAAAGTATACAAAAAACACATTCAAGTTTTGATCCTCTAACATTATATAAAATTTCAGTTTGATCTCTTAATTTTATAAATTATATTTTAGCCCTCTAATCTAAACACCATTAGTCTCAAAATGAATGAAATGATGAAATGTAAAATGTCATTTTTTTTAACCGGAAAAAGGGGGATATATGCATTATGAAAGGATAACAAAACAATGTTCAAGCGATAATCACAACATAGCCACATAAACAAATAAACAAGTCACAAATATATGTTTGTTGATTCACAATGTTATTTAGGTACAAATGACTTGACATAATCAACACAGCAATATAAATAAAACATCAAAATTTGTTAAAAGCATAAAAGTTGGATGGCATGATGAGAAGAGAGTGATGAATTTCATATCTTAGCATGAGTGGGAAAATTATTAGCGTGAAGATTACTAGGCCACATCAAATTAATGTTGAAGGCCTGTGAAGTTTCTTCATGCTGATTTTTATTGGGCTCCCTAATTTTTTTTATTATCCAAAACTTTATTTTTCTTTTTGGAGAATTTTCCTTCTTTAAAAAAATAATGGCCACTAATGCGTGTTCTAATGAGTTGGTCAACATCAAAAACATTAAATAGAAAAATAAAATGGGCTACTCAGCACATGACCAGCATAAAATGCATGTCATCAATATGTGTGTGTGTGTGTGTATGGACATGCAAACACACCACACCACACCACATTATATGAATATAGAAAATGAATGAAATGATGAAAAGGCAAATCTAGCTCATTTAAAATTTATTTCTATTGGAGATATTAGGAAGAAAATCAAACATTGACAGATCCACACGAACACATACTTACACGGATATGGGCATATTTGTAAATGAGGTAGCCCCAAACATAATTCTATCATTATTCATAATTTACTTTGGAATTAAATGATATAATCTAGAACTAAAATCTTTTTGAGAAAATAATAATAAATAATAAAATTAATATATAATTTAGATTATCCAAAGCAAAATTGAATGTTCCATACATGTTCCTTGTAAGTCTTACTCGTTTTGAAAAACCCCTCAAGAAAGTTTAAGAGTAAATGAGCAAATTATCCCCTGAATATTAATCCAGTATTACCATAGACTTTGAACTTGTTTATTGTGCAAATTGCTCCCTTAACTTTTAAAAATGATGTAATTTAGCCCCTTCCATTAACAAAAGTTAATTTTAACTATTAATTGACTATAAAATAATAGAAAATGACCTCAAAAATTACAGAAAATCACCAAAAAAAATGGTCTTTTTCTGTAATTTTTGGGTCATTTATTGTAATTAATTCTTTATATCCTTTTATGTCTTTTTTTTTAACTAATGATTAAAGTTAACTTTTGTTAACCATAGGAGCCAAATTGCACTATTTTAAAAAGTTGAGGAAATAATTTGAACAATAAACGAGTTCAAGGTCTATAGTGCAATTGACCTAAAGTAGAAAGAGTAATTTGCTCATTTATCCAGTTTAAATGACAAAATAATATACACGTATTTCAAATACAAAATCAAATCATTATATAAATGTACAATATGACTGAGATGAAGACAAAGAAATTCTTTTGTTTAGATTCACTAAATATGAAAAAGATTAGGAAAAATACACATACATAAATGTATAACTAATTTAAAATTTTATTTCACTATTACATGAGTGTGTGTCGTGAAAACATGTATGTGTAAACAAAATGATTTCATTTCAAATTTACTTCTATCCAAGAGACTAGGAAGAAAAACAAACACCATTTACCCCAACAGCCCAACCACATACATATACGGATAGGGATATATATGTAATAACACCCAAATATAATTCTTTATGTCACATTTGTCATTTTATCCATAATCACATTGGGATTAAATAATCTAATATTCTAATTCAGAGCTGAATGGCATTTTATTCATAATCACTTTGGGAAAAACAAACATATGTACACAAGTGCATACGTGTAAATGAGTTGGTGCTCAAATATAATTCTTTTAAAACTGTGCAATTACTTATTAATTTTGGAATGCTTCCCTCTAAATAATTATCATCAACATCCAAGATTTCCAGCAAAGTGAGATGATGACATATTTCTTCTGGCAAATTGCCATTTAAATGAAAGGTATATACATGGAATCCTAACTAGTTATTTCTATCAAATTAAGATAATTAATCTTTATTATAAAATATTTCATAGAAAATTCTATTAAATATGTATAGTTAATTATATGGCATTGGGAATGTTTTCCATAAATTGATAAACGATTTATTTGGAGATTTGTTTTTACACAAATTTTGGCCCCACTATTATGTGAATGAACAAACAAATACATGCACCACACCTAGCCTGCACGCATCCATCACAAACATGAAACACATATTTTAAAATAACATATTTTATTTGAGAGATTAAAACAAGCAAAAAATGACACACATGGTATAAAAAAATCATATAATTTAAACTCTTACCTTGCAAATTGCTGTAGGGAAGATACAAGCGTTGGAGGTTTGTCAAATTTCCAATATCACTTGGAATGATTCCTAGGTTGAACATGTTATCACCTAACTGTAACATTGCCAATTCTTTGCATTGATGCCAAATGGAGGGTATTTCACCAGACAAATCATTTCTATCCACAGAAAATAATTCAAGTTTTGGTAGCCCAAGACACACATTTGTTGTGATACTCCCTGACAATTGATTTATTCCAAGATCAATTTGTCGTCGCATCGAACTGTTAAGTAATGAGGTTGGTATCGAGCCTGAAAGCTGATTATTTCCAAGATATATTATCTGTAGCTGTGGAAGATGACCAATCTCATTTGGAATGCCTCCTTCAAATATCAAAAGACAAATAATATGTCAATATGTATCATGAGCATTAAGCATAAGGAAGAATTTTCTAAAGTATGCATTTTTTTTTAATTCATGTTTGCAGTATGAATACTTTCTCAATCTAGTGTTGCATGTGTTTTACGTTAAAGACAATAGGGGTAGTTATATGCATTTTTATTGATGCAAGATTCAAAAACAAAATTTATACTTAATGATCATATTGATCTTTAGAAAATAAAGCTCACAATGTTGAGAAATATAATTATTTTCAGAAATTGAATCTATTACTAACTAACTAAGTCCCATATAGGATATCAACATAATAGGCCAATGAAGACTATTTTTCTAGTTGATAAAAATAAAACTCATATCTTATAAAGACACGTGCTTAAAGTAGGTCACAGATGTGAGATCCTTAGTAGATGTTAAAATGTAAATATTTGTGTAAGTACTTTTGGATTTATAATGCATATCCTGACTCTTAAGTTCTCAGTTATTGAAGACTTAACTCACCTAAATTTTTTTCTAACCAATATAAAATATAAAAAATTGTAGAGTTATCATTGTTATAAAATCTTGTGTGCTTCCGGGGTATCCTTGAAGATATTGCCTTACTTCCTTTAAAGTGTCCTGATCCAAATGTTATATTCCTTAGAATTTAAACAAATACATTATTTTCAGAATGATGTAAATTTGCACAAAACAACACAAAAATTTCAATATTAGAACTGAGTTATTCAACAATAATATTATTATTTTTGAGTGAATTCAATAGTATTATTATTGAAAAAGTGAATGCTATGTTATATCACCCTACTTTCTAAATAGTTAACTTCAATTATGAAAATGAAGGCCACAGATTTTTGGTGGTTTGTGTAATTATAATGGATTTAGTCATTATCATTAAGGAAAAGCAACATTCGCATCTAGCATTGGTTTAAGGGGGAAAAAAAATAAAGAAATGAAAATGAAGGAAAAAGAAGCTTGCACTTCTCTCCAAGTCCAAGTCACGTTGCAAATGTGATAATTGATATATTTCATGTACAAACTGAATATAAATTCTTTATATCTAAATTTTGAATTTCATTATTTTTATTTTAGCAAGTAATATACATAACAGAAAATTAATATTTGACGACAAAATTTTTTAAAAGAAATAATAGTTAATAATAAATAATATAATTAAAATATAATTTGAATAGTCCAAATTAAAATTGAATGTTCCAGGTCTATGTATTGTAAGCTTTGCTCATTTAGGGGGGAAAACCCTTCAAAATGTCTTCGGTGATAGAGTAGACTATTATTTTCATGCTAGCCATTATTGGAATGCACTGTAGTAAAGAAACAAATATCCTGCTGCTTCAGTTTCATTAAAGCCGGTAATTTGGGCCAAGCCCGACGGGCCAACCCGAACCCGCCCGAAAAATTTAAACCCGAGCCCGAATAAAATAATATTTTTTATTGTTCGGGCCTATTCGGGCGGCCCGAATAGGCCCGAGAAAATTCGGGCCAAGCCCGATCGGGTTCGGGCTTGGCCCGAATACCCGAATAGAAAAAATACATTTTAAAAAATATATATAATACAATAAATATTAATTATTTTTAAAGTTTTATATCATTTTATTTTAAAATACCATATATTTGAGTATATTACTATAGTTATTTTTTAAAAAATAAAAATATTATATTTTCCTATTTTTATAATTTTTAATCAAATAAAATATCTCAAAATAATAATTAAAATATATTTTAATATTAATTTTTATACTTTAAGACTCAATCTTTTTTTTAGAAAAATTGAGTCATATACACCATTTTCTTGTTCAAAAAATTATATTTTATATTTTTTATAAAATAAGATAATTAATTTTAAATTAAAAATAATTTTAAAAATAAAATTTGGGCATGTACAAATTCTGACTCTACTACTAAACAAACATAATAAATAAACTAATATTTTTAGATAATTATTTGATTATCATCCATGTCAGACTTGGTTAAAAATTAAGAATGAATTAAAGTAAATACCCTTTATATATAAGTCTTAAATAATATAAAAGGTTAAAGAAAAAATTTTAAAAAATAATATTTTACCCATAATTAAATAATTTTATTTTATATAATATAATGATGGCTATTTTTTCATATTCTTAAAAACAAAAAGTACAGTTTATTTAATAGTTGTTAAAAACTTTGAACTAATTAGGACAATAATTTTAAATTAGTGGTCTAACTGTAGTTGAATTGAGATTAACTTGATCATAATTAAAATAATATGATTCAATTAAAATATATAAATATTTTTATATAACCATGATAAGATAAATATTTAAATAAGTAAGACATCAATTTACAAGTAAAGGAAACATTCATGAATAAATTGCACATAATACAACAAAATAGTAACAGAGCTACTTAAGTACTTAACTACAAAGTTAATAAGTTATTATTTTTTTATTCCTTTTAAGTTAAAAAATATTTTATGCTTAATAAAATTATTTAAAAATTAAAATTGATTAAAAAATAAAAAATATTTTAAAAAAAGTTTCGGGTATTCGGGCCAGCCCGAATAAGCCCGAAGCCCGAAGGTGTTAGGGCCGGGCTTGGCTATATGGGCTTTTTAGAAAGAGTAGGATTCTTTAAGCCTGATCCGAATAAGCCCGGCCCGAATTGAGCCCAGACCGAATAAGCCCGGCCCGCCCGAATTACCGGCTCTAAGTTTCATGTAGATACTTGATTTATTGAAAACAAATTGATAAAAAATCATAAAAAATGAAATCTGATAAAAATGCATAAAAATACAAACAAAAAAAAGAATATAAAATAGTCAAGACAAACCTAGATCCTTCCAGATGTTCATCGTGGGATTATATCATGCTAACCAAATAGACTAGTTTAGAGCAAAAATAAATATTGGTATAAAAAATAATTCCAAAACATACCTGACAAAGTATTAGAAGACAAACTCAGTAATTCAAGTGATGATAAGTTGGAAATCATTTGGGGAATGATTCCCGAAAGCTTGTTACCCGCCAATCGTAAAACCTTCAAACGCTCAAGTCTTCCTACCTCAATAGGAATGATTCCTTCAATTAAATTAAAATTCCAATCTAATGTCTCTAACCTTGATAGATTGAACAGAGATAGTGGAATTAATCCAACAAGACCATTATTTTGAAGATTTAGGTGCTCCAATGTAGATAAATCTCCTATCCATGCTGGAACTTTTCCATGAAAGTCATTGAAGCTCAAGTTCAGTTGTTTCAATCTACGCAATTGAACTAACTCTCTTGGTATTTCACCATAAAAGTTGTTGCTACTAAGATCAAGTTCAACAAGAAATGAGAGATTTCCCAATAGTTTAGATATGGTGCCTTTGAGATCCATGCCACCTAGATTCAAGGAATGGACCCTTCCATGGCGAGTATTGCAGGTGACACCAACCCAATTGCATGGAGAAGAAGAGATACACCAAGTAGATAAGGAATCATATGGATCTGAAGTGATAAAGGATTTAAGGCCAAGAAGGGTAGATTTATCAGTGGTGATGTTTGTATCAATCAAAGCTAAGGAGGATATGAAGCAATGGAGTGAGAACATGAGGAAAGCAAAGGAAGGAGATTTTTCCATGTTGAGCATATCAAACTTGTCAAAATTGCAAGGTGTGTATATAAGCGTATCATTTTATACCTCTCCAATTCCAACTCAAGTCAAGGTGTGCAAACACAATGACAGAAAGAAAATTAGGACATCTCTCATGATAAGATTAAAAAAACTTCAACTAAAATATTAATTATAATTAGCATGTTAGGTAAATAATATCTATTTTTATATTGGAAGTCTAAAGACTTTTGGGATATATGTTTATGTGAAGGGACTTTGCCGTGAAACATGTAGTAATTGCGCCCAGTGCATTCGAGAAGAAAAATCTAGCTAAAGAATAAGACTTTTTTAACAGATAACAATTAAATAACGTTTTGCATCATATTCATTTTTAGCATCAACAAAATGTTGTCGATATTAAGAAGACCCGCGTAATAAGTAATTTGAACTTCAATAAATGGAAACTTGAAGAACTAAAAATTCCACCACCACCACCTTCTTTCATCATCATCATCTGCTATCATCATTATCATTTCCACCACTAGACCAACTATCAACACTACTATTCCAATTCCAAAGCTATCACCTCTGTTTATAACATTTGTCAATATATGTGAATTACAAAGCAATTCCAAATTGCTATTCGTTGTATGTACATCAAAACATAATTAGTAGATTGACCTGTAGGGTTGACCTGAAAGTCAACCAATTTGGCAGGTGACAACTTCAAAATGCCCCATTATGAATGATTGTGGAAAAATCAAATTAATCTTCATACCAAAAATTCTGTTGGATTTTAATTGTTATGAAGTGCTCCACTAAATAGGCGCTATTGGAGTGTCATTATCATTTTAGATAACAAATATAGCATTTAAATATGTATTTCCACATTAGTGACCACGACGACTATGGAGTATTGAAAACACTACACAATTTTCAAAACACACATACACACGCAAAATTACTAACAGAAGAAGGACAGATGGATGGTCAAGTCTAGAGCTTTGAAATACGATCAAAGAAATGTTGATGATGACAATTATGCAATCCATTCAAATATTTGATGTAATGACAAGATGTTTTCTTTTCTGAGAGTTTAAATCAATGTAGCGATATATTAGGACTAGAGTATTCAATATTATTCGAGCAAGATTAATTTAGTGTATGTAGTTGATGCCCTGTGTGAGAATCAAAAGCAGTCTATGGTTGGCCCAAAATAATTAAAAAAAAAGAATAGAATCTATCATCTTACTCTTTAAAATGTTACCACCGATTATGAGACTCAAAGCCAAAAATATTTTCAGTCATTTATATGATTAGAGATTTAGATAAAAACCAATATAAAATAAAATTGATGATATATATATATATATGTAGATATTTTACCATAAATACAAATTTATTAATAAAAGTTAGAGATAAAATCATCTTTACTAAAACAATTCCAAACATACATATATTTTAGGGTTAAAGACCATGCCCCCCAAAAAAACAGACTTTTTTTAGGGCTAGGCATTCTGTATTGAAGGGTGGGTTAATAATTTTTTTTCAAAATCAAAATCACCTTTTTGTTAGAGACTCATCATCTTCTCCGTTATCTACTTGCGTAATCACAAAGATGATGGAACCAATCAACAAGTAAGCACTAATTAAGTTTCATGCTTGTGTTTTTTTTTTATATTTCAAACTTCTTACGCCAACTTCTGTTTTGTTAGAGCTATGTCTTTGTACAACACGGATGAATCTCTAACTATTCCCAAGGTCAAACCGTTTGACCAATTGTTCACATGGACAGTAATAAGGGTATATGTTTAAACATTAATTGTTCAAGTATTTATTAACAATTATGTAATTTTTTAATATATCTTTATTGGATTTTAAAAGTGCACACGTCAAAGACCAGATTCAGTGGACTATAGATATTGCGTGATGAGATTCATTAGAGACATCATCACTCATGCCAAGACTCCAACCCCTACCAAGGTTCATATTTAATTTAACTACATTTTATATATAAAAAAATTTAATTAGTTAGGTAACTTTGTTGTGGTTATAATTCAAATTGCAATAATATGATGACACTTATTGTGAAGAATTTGGGGATGCTCACATCAATGAAGTTGTGGAAGAGTGGTATCAACACATATTTCAAGTATGGATCATGCAAAATTCACTCATTAATTCTCAATGAGTGTGCATTTGGTCTAGCAGCAAAAGGAATGTGATTTAGGATAGGATTATTATTTCATTTTTTAGGATAGGATTGAAATTTAGGAATAAGACTTGTGACTTTTTGAGCACAAGGAATAAGTTTTGTGATTGAATTTGGGGTTGTTTGCAATGTATATATATGTTCTTTTAATATGGAAACAATGTTATTGATGATAATTCTTGTTGGATTGTTTGGTGACTGTTCTAGGAGTAAATTATCAATTTTGTTGCAGGGGGTTGATTAAAACATAGATCCCACATTTAAAAAAAAATACTAGAACATATTTGATGGTTATTTGAATAACTGTAGAATATAGGTAGGCATATTTGACAATTTTTTCAGATAACCATCGAATATACTTTTTCAACTTTGGACCAGAACAATTTCTGCTGGTATATTATACTTGACAGTTGCCAATAACCGTTAACTATAGGGCCATATATTTGATTGTTGTTTAACTGTCAAGTATCACTGCCATAGGAAGGGGATACTTGATGCCCCAATACTTAATAGTTATTTGAGAAAAATGACAAACAAAAAATGCATAGAATACTTGACAGTTGTTTATAAGCAACTGTCAAATATTTAAACACATAATTGACAACTATTAGGAAATAGTTGTTAAATAAATACTTATTATCTATTTGACGCTTGTTTAAAGATATCTATCAAATATATACATAATATAATTGATGATCATTGTTAAACAAGTGTCAAATGGATAATTTTAAAAAATTGAAAAAACATATTTATTTGACACTTGTTATAAAACAACTATTAAGTATGCCTAGCACATACTTGACATTGTAATACTTGATAGTTATTTTGAAATAACCATCAAGTATTATGTTTTAAATTCCCCTCCAAAACCCTTTCCTCTTTACATTTTTGCAACACAAAAGTCATTAGAAACACACCTAGGCCTCCAAAAAACCATATTCCATTATCCAACAACTAAAAAACATGATTTTGCACTCAATTCATAGTAGGCTTTGGATTATCGGCCTCAATCTTGCTCATGGGAGCTCATATGGTGGATTCGTCACACCAGTGATTGCCATTTCTCCATTTTTATTGTCTTCTCTTCTTCTTGAGGTTGGTTCTTGCTTCCCAATCATTATTCCTCATTTTGAGTTCATGAGTTGTTGATTTTGATTTATATACACAGTGGGTAGTTTCAATATTGATTATTTTGACCTCCATTTGTGTTTTTGCTAATGGGTATTTGAAATTTAGAGTTTTAGGTGCTTGGTGGTGCTTATTTTGTAATTGAATGATTAATTTAGATTTTTTATTCCTTGAATAGTCAATTTCACATTGCTAGTGCCTGAATTGATTGGAAATTGCCTTATATGAAAATAATTTTGAGTTTTAAGTTGATATATGTAGTGTTTGATGTGGATTATATGATTTTCATTAAAATTTGGCTTCTTATTGATGTTGTTATTGTTGTTGTTGAACCATATATAGTCTTTGTTGTGAATAATATGATTTTTCTAAGGGCATAAAGCTTGGGTAATAGTCATTTTTAAACTATTATACTACTTTTTTTTAAAATTGTTCTTGGGTATAACTTTATGTGATTGTTGTTGTTGTTGCTATTGTTGTCAAATGAATTCATAAAGAGAGGGCATAAAGCTTAGGAAACTCTTTTTTAAGCCATTATGCTATTGAAATTTTTTCAATGTCTAGCATTAAAAAATAGTTACTAGTTTAAAACAAGATTAATGATTGAATGTGCAAACATGTGGTTAGTGACTCATTAACTAATTTATCCTTTGTATCTAACTCTCCTAGTATCTAAGAGTAGTCAAAGTCACTAATCACATTTCCCTCTTAATCTTTGTAGAAATTATGGATAAGGAATGGATGTCTACCAATTGTCTATCCAAGAAATATTGAGATGGAGTGGTGGACTTCGTTAAGTTTTCAGTTAAGCATGCGGATGACCTTACTAGAATTGTTTTCCCGTGTTTAAAATACAGGCTTGTGAAGCAAGTTAGTCTAGATACTTGTGAAGAACACTTAGTGATTAATGGGATGGATCAAAGTTACAAGTATTGGACAATTCATGGTGAGATAAGAGATGATATTGGTTATAGTTGGGGCGTACTAAAAGCTAGAAGGATTTCTGGTGAGAATAGCCCTAGTAGGAAAGATAGATGCACAATCCCTTCAGAAAAACTAACCAAGATAATATGTTTTATCTTCTAACTTTATTTAATTTTTTTATCTTAAAAACTTACTATCATTGTTTGTTTAGGGTGAGAACGATTGCAATTGTCTATGAGACAATCTTGAATGCAAAGGGTGCATGTACAACATTCCTATGAACACAATCCATAACCATCCTTTCCTGCTCGATTACATGAGGGTTTCTCTACTTGTTGCAATCGGTCACAAGCATCCATTGACTATTCCTATTAATGAGGTGTGGATGGTAGGAGATATAGTGGGGCACTTCATTGCATGGCCTAACCACTTTGTAACAGTTGTAATGCCAAAGTCAGCAAAGGACCGATTGTCACCAAAGGAATTAAAAAGGTATGGTTTAAATAATTTTTTAGAATCTTGTAATATAATTATAATTATGAAACTTTTATGTTGTACAATTGAGGGGGAAGAGCAACTTAAAAGGCAAGGCATCAGGCCATACCAAAGAGTAAGCCACAGTTTCACAGCATCTAACACCAATGCCTACTGTAGAACACAAATGTTATGGCTCTCTTGAGACTTATGTGATGGCTACAAGAATGGCTTGTTAGGTGGCCATTGGGGATATCATTAATTTTGATAAGAGGCTATATGGTAGATC